CATACAGATTTGTCTTTGTCTCATTCTACTTTGCTGGTCTCATACTGATTGGCTCAGCCTCCAGGAGCCTAAAAGCAAATGGGCACCAGGAGGAACCAGGCAGATACTCAGGGACAGCAGGGCCTGGGGATCCTTCTGTGGTGCCTTTAGGCTTGGTTCTCACCTAACTGTCCTCTGTTATATTAACTTCAGGAACATGGAGCACATGAAATTCGGGACAGCCTGCCTGCGTGTTTGTGATAATCACAGAAATATGAAAATACAGTTTCAGCAAGAATAGAATTTATTTCCTATGCTTAATACATGTATTATTTGCTCCTCAAGGCATTACAAAGACTAGTATGTGGATAAACTTCTTGAGCAGTGTTACATAAATATGAGACATGATTCATGTGTATGTTTACAACCACAAAGACACATTAATTGGTCGTCTGCAGAAAGTTCTTTTATAAAAGGGGACACTTCTGTTACTTTTGCTACTTTGCTGACTATGCAGCTGGGAAACTAACCTTCTCTCCTGAGCTTTTATATCTGGTACCTTCAGCAAATAACATCATCAATATTTTAAAGTCATATTTGACTTCCGGTGAGTAGCTGCAGGACTGTCACCCTCCTAAGAACCTTCTCTGAGGTACTCTTCTTTCTGTAGGGTGCCTGACAATGTTAACCCTTCTCTCCTGAAAGCAGGTGTGCGTGCCAAGAGAAAGAATTCCCAAGAAAGCTTTCACATATCCTGATCCCGCCCCACCCACCAGGCACCAGTTTTTGTACCAGAACTGTTTATTAGATTTTTGTGGACTTGGCTTAATTTCAGTGTAGAATGGTTGAGTCTCCTGTCCAAAACGGAGGTGATGAAGAAAGGTTTCCACCCATCTGAAGGGCCATTTTCACAGCATCGCTGGCAGAAACCTCCATACTCCCTGGCAGATCTGGGGACATTAAGGGCATTCGAGAGGCACAGATACTTTGGATCAAAGCTGGGGTCCCAAAATATCCTAGAGTCACCTCTCCAGAAGAGTAGAAGAGCTTGCAGAACCCTACAGAGGCAGAAAACCTCTATTCCTCACGGAAACTTTAATCTTTTCAGGAGAGTTCAGCTTCTGTTAGAAACCCAAGACTTTGCAAGCAAACAGGATAAGACCTTCTAAAGTCACTGGGTGAATATAATGAGTATAGGGCTCAGAATACTTAGGCAGGGGGGAAAATGGGCTAAGTATTTCCTTTCATTAGAGTCTCTATAGGTAGTCATTTCCCTATTTAGCCAAACAAAAGCCATGGAAGCAGCTCCCCCCCCCTCATCTATTAAAAGGAGAAAGATGGATATCTTTAATTGAAAGCAAGGCATCTCAAAATTCTTTAATTATAAGCTCAAAGGGGCTTTGAGCTCATCTTGTATCTTCTTGGCTTTCAGCAGGATGGCATTAAGCCTTCCTAAAAAGATAAGACTCAACCTATTTTTAAACATATCCGAAGAGGGCATTCCGGTTTCTGTTCTTTTGTTAGACAGGGGAAATTTTTTCCCTTTCTAACTTCACCACAGGTGAACTTTTCCTATTACTAGCCTGAAGACTTCATATTAGAGTTTGGCTTGCCCTGCTCAGAGGAGATGGTGAACAGCCTGTCACCATCAGCCTTTTCTAAACTGTACTTTTACCTGTGCATCTGTATGAAAGTATTAACAATTAGTTAGGATATTTGGATTTAAATCAATGCATTTGGGGCTAGATGCCAACTGAATGACTCACTGGCAAGGCAAAGAGAGTCTCCCTTCTTTTTGTTATAACTTTTCTTTTCTGTGCCATGAACTCCAATGCTCACAGCTCACCCTTCCCCATACTCTTGCAAAATGCCCCCCCCACACTAGAACAAATAAAAAAACTCCTGAAGCATCCAGTTAACACTTAGACTGCACCCCTCCCTATTCATATCAAAGGATAATAGTCCAGGGAACACTTTCTGGAGCTCACTGTGGGCTTAAATCCTGGCTCTAGATTGTTGGGCATATTTTGTAATCTCACTAAGCTTTTTCTCATCTGTAGAATGGAGACAATAGCAGTCTCTATCTTTTAGGGTTGTGGAAAGAATTAATAAGTTAATACATAAACAGCCCTTAGAATGGGGTCTGGTACTCTAATCCTCACTGCTGTGTGGTTGTTAGCTACGTCCTCTTTGCAGCAAACGGATAGTCTGAGGCATCAAACTATGCCCAACATCCCAGAAGGCAAGTGGGAGAAAGAAAAGCTGTAGGATTGAAGTTCAACGGACGTGTATAAGTAAGAAGAGTCATCATGGTGAAAGAGAAAAAAAAAAAAAAAAGCTAGAAAAACAACTATAGGAAGAGGGAAAACCCGGACTTAAAACCAGGTAAAGGGAGACAGAGGAGAAAATAAGAGAAAAGAAGAAAAGAAAAAGGGAAATGAGTAAAAAAGGCGGGCCTGAAAAGAAAAGATAGAAAGAGGATGAGGAGAACCACCATAACAAAGGAAATTGAAAATTGTAAAAGACCCCGTTTACAGTATCAGGAAAAGAGAAGACCGAAATATTGGATATAGAAGTAGGGAAGCCTGGAACGGAAGGGATGGGGGACAGGAACAGTTCAAAGTTCTAGAATGGGCTGCGTTTGTCATTTGCAGCCACAGCCCTCTCTCTAGGTAAATGATGGGAAGTTTGCGTGTTCTCTAAATCCACCCTTGATTCCCAAGGCTCCCTATGCCTGTTCCTCCTATAACCTGCTTTAATGTCTGCCCCAGACTAAGTGCCTATGGTTTGCCTCGGTGGGACGTCTTCTGCTTTTCCTCTACTGACAAGGCAAAGATGCAATAATCCGGTCTTTATTTCATTTTCATTAAATAGGCAACATTTTCAACTGAAGTTTAGCTCTGGAGCAAATATTTATATACCCTTCTTATTCCAAACATTGAGAAACTTATACAGGGAGCTGGCATTTTAATTTTTAAAAATTATTCACCTAACAGCACCAGCACCACCCCCGCCTCCCATTTTGGTCAATCAAGAACAAGAAGGGAAAAGATGGTAGGATACTGCCTGGATATGCTGATTTTAGTTAGGGCTTCAAATTGCTCTCATCAAAGGGAATTAATTATCTAACCACTTGGAAACAGGACAGGGGTTGGATCTAGGTTTAAAATAAAATCAGCATTAAAAAATACTTGTAAAGTATTATCTGATTAAATTGCCTGTTTGGTGCAAAATACTGTCCCCTATTTGAGGAAGTCAAGACACCTTAATGGTCCCTCTAAACAGACGGCTTGAACAGAAGGCGAGCGTCTCCTCACGCCGGGGTGATCCTGGGCCGCCGCCGCCGCCGCCCGAGTCACGAAGCCAGACGCGGCGCGCGTCTCAGCCCAGGACTCGGGAGACTGCAGCGGCGCGAGCGGCCGAGGCCGCGGCCCGGGCTGCTCCTGGAGGCGGGGAGGAGACGCGACTCCCGCAGACACGTGACCTCCTCCCAGCCGCCGCTTCCCGCGACCCAGATCCGTCCCCGGAACCCGTGCCTAGGCGGGCGGCCCGGGGGCCACGTAGCGAGTTCCCCAGTCCCTGCTGCACCTCGGTGCGTGTACATTGGGCGCCCTTCTCCCTTTGGTTCACGTGCCAGTGACAATAATCAATGTTTCGGAGATCACCCGGGGAGAATGTAAATAATACTCTCGCGGCAGGAAAAACCTTGGTTTTGTGGCTATAGGTTTGTCAAGATTAATACACGTTCCCTCCAGCCCAGCCCCGGCAGACCCGGGGAGCGGCAGCCTGGGGGCTGGAGATCTAGGAGTCCCTTGGGACATGCTTTCCCTTGGCCTCCAAGGCCCCTAGCCGCCCGCTGCGCAGGGCGGCGTGGGTAGCGCTCATCCCCGGGCACCTCCCGGTAACTCTCACTAGCAGTGAGTCATGCTCCAGGGGTGGCTCTGGGGAAAGGTAACCCGGCTCGTGCTGTTCTGTGCTTCCCTGCGCCGAGCGCCGCGGCTGTAGAGCGAGCGCGCGCCCGCGCACGGGTTCCCCGCGCAGTGATGTGGCAGCGGCGGCAGGTCGGATCACGTTGCTGGCCCTGTGCTGGTACCCGTTTGAGACAGGATTAAGGAGGGAGGCTTTGGAGGTGCCAGCGGTAGTAAACGTGGGCTCTGCACACTCCGGGCGTCTCTTATCACACGGGGGCGGGGGGAACCGGGAAAGCACGTAGCGTCACCGGAGGCGCAGAGGGGCGGCGGAGTTTCGCAGGCGGGTGATAAATGCTGCATTGCTTTTCTGCGGTAGCCCCTCTCGTGCCATCCTCTTCTGCCTCCTCACACCGCCGCTCCCCTTCAGCCCCCGCGCCCTGCTCGCTCCTCGCCGCGTTCCTCTGGGAACACACGAGGCTCCAAACGTCATCTGCTGCTGTGATTAGTGGCACCGCAATTCCGGCTGCTGCGGGGAAGTTTAGGTGGCCCAGGGACACCGCGTCGCGGAGAGACGCTTGGATTGCGACATTCTAACCTACTGACTACATTTTCATTTATCTGAAATCCTTCGGGAAGCAGAGTTCAAGTTGCACCTTTTCAGGGCAACCTCCCACCAGCGCCCAGGGGTCCCCCCAGGCCAGTGAGTGGTGAGCAAACAAGTCTCCAAAATTTCCTTTGGGACTGAAGTTTACCCACCGCGAATTCTCTTTCTCTTTCCTTTCTCTGGTCCAAACCAACAGCACAATCGGTGGAAAAGCAAAAAGCCACGTTCACATTCCTGCACCGTAATGACTGACGAACTGAGGGAGTCGCATTTCCGAGCCAAGGAAGCCCCTGCGGCCCAGCACCCGCACCCCCGGCCCCCTCCCCCTACTGACTGCAATGCCTTTGGGAAGATGAATAGCTTGGCCGAAGTTGTTTTTCCTTTCCAGTGGCCCTGATCAGGTGTCCCCGCCCCCTCCAGTCGTTCGTTTTTCCTCGCCGCCTTCTCCAGACGCCCCCTCCCGGCCTGGCCCCTCCTCCCCCGCCCCCCTCCGGGCTGGACCGCGGATGGTACGTTCCGCACGTGAGCTGGGTGCTGGTCTGGCCGGCGACGCGCGTGCCCTGTGGCCAAACACTGCCTGGAGTGAGAGCAAACTACCAGCGCAGTGGGGCCGGCGCGAGTGTGCGTGTGTGCGCGCGCCTGTGTGTGTGTGCGAGAGAGCGAGCGAGCGCGGTGGAGGGGGGGAACCAACTGCTTCACACTTTCAACACTGCACTGAAGAGGGAGAGCGAAAGAGAGACTGGAGACGCACAGATTCCCCCAAGATCTCCCAAGCCTACCGTCCCACAGATTATAGAACAGAGCCCCCAAAAAGCGAAACAGAGGAAACGGACAGCGGCTGAACATGGACGAAGGAATTCCTCATTTGCAAGAGAGACAGTTACTGGAACATAGAGATTTTATAGGGTAAGGTGCACGCACCCTTGCGAATTTCTGTCTAGGTTTGGTTTGATTTTTTTTTCTTCTCCAGAAAGTGGTATGGAGCGGGCGAGGGAAGAGCCCCTCCCGAATGGGTGCCTGATGATGATTTCTGTTTTGCAGACTGGACTATTCCTCTTTATATATGTGTAAGCCCAAAAGGAGCATGAAGCGAGACGACAGCAAGGTAAGTGTAAGTTTCCGATGTTCCTCACAACCTGCCTGGATAGTTAATTAGGACCATTGATTTCCCAGTGAAGCTCTGCCGGCAAATATATTTCAGCCCCTGAGCTTCCCCAACTGTGAATTTTAAGTGGCTTGCTGGATACTCTCAGGGGGATATTAAACATCATACCTGAATTTAAATTGCATTGCAGAGCAGTCCAGAGGAAAGAGGTTTCTTAGGTGTAGTTTATCACACAGTATGTTTTATTTGGGGGGGGGTATATCTAGTAAGTGAATGTTTAGCTTATTGTTTTCTCTCTTTCACGAATCTCACATATTAAGGATACCTACAAATTACCGCACAGATTAATAGAAAAGAAAAGAAGAGACCGAATTAATGAATGCATTGCTCAGCTGAAAGATTTACTGCCTGAACATCTGAAATTGACAGTAAGATGCACATTTTCATTCTTTGCTGGTCTCCAAGGGCGTGTTAATAGCCTGGTACGACTCCCGGAGATAGAAGAATAAATGTAAATATTAGCTGCCTGACTTACAACTTGTGCTATAGTATACAGAGTTTCCCACAAAGTCGGAATAGGTGCTCCCCACTGAAGGCAAGAAATCATTTATAACCTGTCTTGTGGGAAGCTCAAGAAGTGTAATAGTACTTCTTTGAAAGTGTTTGCTTAAGTTGCTGTGCTGAATAGAGAGCCAGTCAAGCCAAATGTGTGTTTTTAAGTAACCAAGTGCCCCTCTCTTCTTTTGCACCACTGCAGACTCTGGGGCATCTGGAGAAAGCTGTAGTTCTGGAATTAACTTTGAAACACTTAAAAGCTTTAACCGCCTTAACCGAGCAGCAGCATCAGAAGATAATTGCTTTACAGAATGGTAAGTCAGTTCTGGGAGGCCAACCTACCCTGACGAAGCGGGGCCGCCCACAGAGGAGCACTCAGTGTTAGGACTCCCTCACCCAGCCCCCACCTCCTTCCTTGGGCCCACGGGCTTGCTCTCATTTGTTAAATTGCTTGTACTTTCCCTTCATTGGAAAGTGCCCATTTCCCAAAGCATCCTAGAGGCTTTCAGCAAAACTCGGGGGGAATCAGATTTTTATTTAAAGTGGCGGTTGCACCCTCTCCGCTTGGGTTTTCATCTAAGAGGAGAGCGCCTCCCCCCGCCCGGTTCTCCACCCCCGCCACCCCCATTCTCTCGGCAACCGGTGGATTATATCACTTGAATACTGAGGAAAAACCGAGTCAGTGCAGTGCATGGCCCACGTGATAAGCAGATGTTTTAACGTCGGTATTTGTCTTCTTGCCTCCACTCCTCTGGCCCCCACCCCCACCCCTTTCCTCATCCTAGGGGAGCGATCTCTGAAATCGCCCATTCAGGCCGACTTAGATGCGTTCCACTCGGGATTTCAAACATGCGCCAAAGAAGTCTTGCAATACCTCTCCCGGTTTGAGAGCTGGACACCCAGGGAGCCGCGGTGTGTCCAGCTGATCAACCACTTGCACGCCGTGGCCACCCAGTTCTTGCCCACCCCGCAGCTGTTGACTCAACAGGTCCCTCTGAGCAAAGGCGCCAGCGCTCCCTCGGCGGCCCCCACTGGGTCCGCGGCCGCCCCCTGCCTGGAGCGCGCCGGGCAGAAGCTGGAGCCCCTGGCCCACTGCGTGCCGGTCATCCAGCGGACTCAGCCCAGCACCGAGCTCGCCGCCGAGAACGACACGGACAC